CTTCCTTAGTCAGGGTTCCCAGCTATGATGGAGAGGAAAACTGAATTCTGCATCATCATGGTATTCCCTCAATTCCTAAACTAAGAAGAAAGAAGAGGAGGATTATCTACAATTTCATGGTTTTAAATAAAGTCATGTTAATGCATAAGCAGTTTGCTTTCTATCTCAGGTTTAAAAACAATCGTCTTTATAAGGCACAAGAAGCCTTATAAATTCATCTATACATCCTCCTATTTCCACTGACCTCTTCTTCCTGAGTCATAGACTATGGCAGTGCACAGGTCTTTATTTTTTCAGGGATTTCTTTCATTATTCTAAGAAGTCTATTTATTCAGAAGGCTTTTGTTGCTAGGGAGAAGTCTCATTGTTTAAGAGAACTCACTGGCTGCTCTTCCAGAGGATCTAATTTTCATTCCCAACACCCACATGGTGGCTCACAATGATTCATAACCTCCGGGAAGCTGCCTCCCTCTTCTGTCTTCTGTAGGCACCAGGCACATGCCCTGCATAGACATGTATGCACCCAAACACCCATAGACATAAAAAATGTAAATCAAAAAGTAGAGGTTCTCGTCATCTCTATTTGCTTTTCTACCACTGTGTCATCTATGGCTGTTAAAGCTGATGAGTCACTAATGGCTTTATTTATTTTTTTATTTATTTTTTATTTTATTGAGAAAAAGGAAAAAAAAGTTTCCCCCTCCTCCCAGCCTCCCATTTCCCTCCCCCTCCGCCCACCCTTTTCCCCCTCTCCCCACTCCTCTCCCCCTCCCTCTCCAGTCCAAAGAGTAGTCAGGGTTCCCTGCCCTGTGGAAAGTCCAAGGTCCTCCCCCCTCCGTCCATGTCTTGGAAGGTGAACATCCAAACTGGCTAGGCTCCCACACCGCCCGAACATGAAGTAGGATCAAAACCCTGTGCCATTGTCCTTGGCTTCTCATCAGCCCTCATTGTTCGCCATGTTCAGAGAGTCCGGTTTTATCCCATGCTTTTTCAGTCATAGTCCAGCTGGCCTTGGTGAACTCCCAATAGATCATCCCCACTGTCTCAGTGGGTGGGTGCACCCCTCGTGGTCCTGACTACTTTGCTCATATTCTCCCTCCTTCTGCTCCTCATGGGGACCTTGGGAACTCAGTCCAGTGCTCCAGTGTGGGTCTCTGTCTCTATCTCCATCCATCACCAGATGAAGGTTCCATGGTGATATGCAAGATATTCGTCAGTATTGCTATAGGATAGGGTCGTTTCAGGTTCCCTATCCTCATCTGCCAAGGAACTAACTGGGGACATCGCCTTGGGCTCCTGGGAGCCACTCTAGGTTCAAGTCTCTTGCTAGCCCTAAGGTGGCTCCCTTAACTAAGAATTGTGCTTCCATGCTCCCCTATCCAGCCTTCCTTTATCCCAATCATCCTGTTTCCCCAAGTTCCCCCCATCCTCCCCTTCTCACTTTTCTCTCCCCATCTCCCCTTACCCCCAACCCACCCCACTCCCAAGATCCCAATTTTCTCCCCGGCAATTTTGTCTACTTCTCATAGGCAAGAGGATAACTATATGTTTTTCCTTGGGTTCACCTTCTTATTCAGCTTCTTTAGGTTCACCAATTGTATCTTCCGTGGTCCTTATTTATGGCTAGAAACCAATTATGAGTGAGTACCTCCCATGTTCATCTTTTTGGGTCTGGGTTACCTCACTCAGGATAGTGTTTTCTATTTCCATCCATTTGCATGCAAAAATCGGGAAGTCATTGTTTTTTACCGCAGCGTAGTACTCTACTGTGTATATATTCCACACTTTCTTCATCGATTCTTCCATTGAAGGACATCTAGGTTGTTTCCAGGATCTGGCTATTACAAATAATACTGCTGTGAACATAGTTGAACAAATGCTTTTGTCATATGATCGGGCATCTCTTGGGTATATTCCCAGGAGTGGTATGGCTGGGTCCAGGGGTAGGTTGATCCCGAATTTCCTGAGAAACCGAAACACTGATTTCCAGAGTGGTTGGACAAGATTGCATTCCCACCAGCAATGGATGGGGGTACCCCTTCCTCCACAGCCTCTCCAGCAAAGGCTCTCATTGGTGTTTTTGATTTTAGCCATTCTGACAGGTGTAAGATGGTATCTCAAAGTTGTTTTGATTTGCATTTCCCTGATCGCTAAGGAGGTTGAGCATGACCTTAAGTGTCTTTTAGCCATTTGAACTTCTTCTGTTGAGAATTCTCTGTTCAGTTCAGTGCCCCATTTTTTAATTGGGTTAATTAGCATTTTAAAGTCTAGTTTCTTGAGTTCTCTATATATTTTGGAGATCAGACCTTTGTCTTTTGCGGGGTTGGTGAAGATCTTCTCCCAGTCAGTAGGTTGCCTTTTTGTCTTAGTGACAGTGTCCTTTGCTTTACAGAAGCTTCTCAGTTTTTGTAGGTCCCATTTATTCAGTGTTGCCCTTAATGTCTGTGCTGCTGGGTTTATACCTAGGCTTTATAAGTGCACTTTGGACCAGGAGGCAAAGAACCCTCAGCTGTGATAGGCTGTTTCTCCAACCTCATCCTCTTACATAGACTCAGATAATATGCACAGCCCCCCACCCCAAGAGAAGTATCTTTTATGACTCTGGGCTTCTTAAGCAGGGCAAATTTTCTTTATGGCTTTCACTCTGTATAAGGACCTCTTGTATGTATCTTGAATGCAGTAATAAACTCCCATATCCAGAGTTACCATGTTGCTATTTTAACAAAGAATAATATGCTAATGTCTTCTGAGTTAATGAAAATCTTCCTACGACTATGTTTCTTGTCATGCCTATTTGGTAGCCACTGACACTCATCCAGAGAATAAAAATTTATATGTGATGGAACAGAAGAGAAGAGTTCAGCTTTGTACTGTCTCACATTAGCATGAATCTAAGACTAACATTTGCTGGGTCTCCATCCACAGTGGTGTACATAGAAGAAGATACTGTATCCCTTGATCTCATGGACATCAACTTCAGACTCCTTGATTCCAAAGCTGGGGACAAATCAATTACTATTTTCAGTTAGCAAGCTTATAGTTCATCTTTAATCACAGTCCACAGAATCTAATGTACCAGGACACACTATGGAAACTTTGCAAACAACCAAGGACTGTAGGTTTTTTTCTGTTATACATAATATAACATGAGAATTCTGTCATTTTTCTACCTATGTTTTCCCCTTACACATTGCGAGAAGTACATGACTAATAGCAGGAACCCTTGGATTTGTAAGATCACTGTCTCCATGTGTCCAATCTTAATTAACAGCAGTAAACGACATGAAAGCACAGTCTGAGCTCACTGAAGCTGTCACAAAGAAAAGTACAAGGTTTAGCAAAGACAGAGAGCACATGACCACTTGTTAAACACGGACTGGGGCAGTTACTCATCTGTCATTTTTTGACCTTGAGATTGGGAACTTTCTCAACCTACACACTGTTGGTCTCTCTCTTATGATGGTGTCTTAAGATTCAACAGATGAGATTTGAATATGCTTATTAAAACTCATTTAACATTTTCTACCTAAAAAGTAGATATATAAAATTATATTTTTAGTGAAAAATAAAAGGGTAGTTTATATTGCTTGAATGCATATTTAACTTTATTTTAATAATAATATTGGCTTAATGCTGATGTGTTAGCATGTTAACTTGTTAACAGATAAATAATTTTGATTATCATATACCATGACCTCTTTTGTATCTAGTTGATTAATGATGCTCATATTTGAAAGGTTGCTTCCGTATATAGATAAGACTTGCCTAGAACTTGCCATGTACCCCAGCCTGGCCTCAAACACATAATACTCCTGCTTCTGTCTTCCTAGTTCTGGGAATTTTGACTCCATTCCATTGTATTTTATTTATTTATTTATTTATTGTTTTTTTTACGTTATACATAATGCTTGGTTCATAATTAATTCCTTATATATGCTTTCAGAGACCACTAACCAGAACTCCAGGCACTTTCTGTGATTTATGTTATTGGTATTGATTTTCATTCATACTTAATCATTTTTTCCATTTCAAGGCAATAATCTCTGATCTTGAAGTTTATTGGTTTCTGTAAAACTGTTACTTGATTTAGGATGGCTGTGTCCTCCCTCTGGGAAAGTCTTTTCTTGTTCACTATGTCAACAAGACAATCTTAACCCAGTTTCAATACTGCTAATTTCCAAATTATCCTAGAGTACAAATTTCTGGAATAAATGATCTTGAAAAAATTGGCCTACATCTATGACTTCTTGAAGAAATATTGTTTCTTTCCTTGCCCTTCCATCCCCTTAATTTAGAACCCTTTTTCTGTTTCCTGAAGTTGTAGGGAAGATACATGTTAGTTTCTGTTGGGTTTACCTTCTTCAAGATTTAAGTTCCTCTGATAGTAGGTTTAAATTAATGTCCCCTTGATGTTCATAGAGCTATTATGGCCTTCTTTTTGCATCTCTGTCCCATGTTTGGCCTGGAAACTGGAGCTCAAATGTCTTAGGTACTTTTAATTGTCCCCATTGTAAGAGTTGCTTTGGAGATGGGAGGTAACAGAAAAAATTAACATCATTTATTTCATTGTTTTGCTTTTCTCTTTTCTTCCTTTCACTCTTCCCTTTTTTATTGCTTCTTTCCTAACTTTATGTTACCAAATTTGTTGTTGCAATATTTTAAAACATATCATTTTCCTAGGACTGTCAATCTGAGATAGTTCTCCTAATGTTTCTGTACCTGATTTAAATATGTCTTGGATTATAACCAAAGATTCTGTTAGTGAACCTAGTAGATTTCTATTGGAGAGCTATAAGCCAGTGATTTCTCATGCTCTTTGCGATTGTATATTTGCTTTTTGATTAATACCAGCCACTCTCATACATATTGCCCATGAATCTGCTTTTGTATTTGCTGACTGCTTTGCATGGGCTCCTCCAGCCTAGCCTAGCTGCTTGGAATTTATTAACCAGGCCTATACAGTGAGAACTGAGCTGAATGAGACAGGCAGGGGGAGTAAGATGGAGTCACACACCTATGTTCTCATGTCCCTGCTTGTCTTGGTGTCTGGTGAAAAATTTCAAAGTATTATATTCTTTTCAGAATCACTTCTTTGTACATAAGAAATGTGTTACAGGGTGTATTATTTTTTATGCAACAATACTCTGATAATTTGGAACTACAAGGACATTAAATGCCAAATTTTATCTGTATTAAATTCGTTTTTTATTATGCATGATCAGTGTTATTCCTGATTGCAGGTGTATGTGCAGATATTGTGATGACCCAGTCTCCATCCTCACTGGTTGTGTCAGCAGGAGAGAAGGTCACCATCAGCTGCAGGTCCAGTCAGAGTCTTTTAAACATTGGCACCCAGAAGAACTACTTGAACTGGTACCAGCAGAAACCAGGGCAGTCTCCTAAATTGCTGATCTACTATGCATACACTCGGGACACTGGGGTCCCTGATCGTTTCATAGGAAGTGGATCTGGGACAGATTTCACTCTCACCATCAACAGTGTCCAGGCTGAAGACCTGGCAGTTTATTACTGTCAGCAGGATTTCCTCTATTACACAGTGCTCCAGCCCCCAACACAAACCTCCTTTGAGAGTCTCACCAGCTGCCTGCACAGCCTTGACATACACACTTCCCTTTTCTGCCTGAGCACCCAAACTTTCATGAAACACTTATGAAAATGTTTGCAGAGTCCAGCAAATTATAAGGGGTTAAATGTGTTTTGCATATACAAAAATGCAAAGGCGAACTCAGTATTATCTTTCTATTCCTTCTGTAACATATTATCACAATCTCTTGCTTCAATATGAGGGATTTTTTATAGTTCTGGTGTTCTGGTGTCTATCATAAGATTCTTTGAGCTGACCTGATGATGATGACAAACTGTATTTCTGTTTAGAAGTTCTAGGTAAGATGTTTCAAGGTTTTCTAGATTCTGGAGTGCTTACTTACTTACTTATTTGTGCTCATTTCTTCTATTTTTTTCTTTCCTTTCTGTAGATTCTTTTAACTTTTATTATACTTTAGATAAATACCTCTGTCTCTGTGTATGTGTGTGCACTTTTCTAGGTGCACATGTGACATGAGGACACTTGATTTGTGTCTGAGAATTACGTTCTGGTTTGAAATCAGGCTGGATGCCAAGTGTCTTTGCCATCTGATCCATCTTTCTGCTCCTTCAAATCTTTTCTTTGATATTAATTCATTTCACACACCTTTCTTAAAGTTCAGGATTTTAGGGCATATCATATATTTTGACCATATGTACTTACCTTCCCCACTTTCCCTTCCCTTTCTGACTAATTTTTCTTTCCTATTCCTTCTTCTACTTTTATTTCTTTGTCTCTGTCATTCAGATGCACCCCCACCCACTGACCCCACACATACATATACTTACACACATATGTACATATACATAAATACATACACTAACAAATGCACACATACACACACAAAAGCACCTGCGCTAATATGGAAATACACACATATGCATGAGCTTTACATACTTAGAATCTAAAAAGGCAGGGAAATGTAATATTTGTTGTGCTTGTTTCTGGGGCCATATCTCCTTCTAACAACTCCATATCTTATTTTCAGTTGTTGAGAATGAGAAACAATTCTTTGTCTAAAGATGGATTGTTATTGGACATGCCAGAGGAGCAGTGGGTGGCAGCTGAAATTCCTTCCAAGTGTCAGCCTATCAGACAGAAACTGATGAGCCCATCTTGTTTAGGCAAGGCCATAGGACTGCAGACCCCAGAATATATTTTGCTTCTGCTGTGCCTTTACATATTTGCTGAAACTCTCTTTCTCTGTTATCTAGAATGGATATAAGGAGATCTGCACTCCATGTAATATAGTGTGTTTATCTCTTAGAAACATCCCATTCTACTGGGCATCTTACCTGCAGATTGTCAAGAAGATGAATCCTCCCTAGGCTGTACTGTTTAATTTTATAACAGTAGTGATACCCTATATAGAGTTTTAATCCCCAGACACATAAATACAAGCTAAGGCCCATGATTTCCATATTAATGACTACTCAGGTTAATGAATAAAAGGAAAACACCTGAGTCCAGGAACTAGGGTGACTCTAATTCTCTTAGTCCTGAAAAGAGGCAGTAATATACCATAGCTAAAACAAAGTTTCAAAATACTTTTAGGTTAGATCAGATGCCTTGCTAATAGTTCAATGAAAAATAACCCCAGAAAACCAGATAAAGTTCATAACGACACATAGCTGAGCTGTCTTACTCTTTAGGCTAGAGTCTAAAGTACAATATGGCCTGATTGTTGACAGCTACCCTTGCTAGGTCTGGTTAATAACCAAAGGTGATGATTAATTCCTTATACCAACATTTGCCCTCAGTATCCTGATATATAAAAAGCCATTGGGAAGTCTGTGGGGCTACTGACAGTGGGACCATTATTTAATCTTAGTGCTTGACGTGGCATCTTGGAGCACATTCTTTTTGGAGGTATACTTGTTCAACCTAGATATAAAGGGAGGGTCTTGTCTTGCCTCAAAGTGTCAGACCTTGTTAACTTTCCATGGGAAGATTTAACCTCTCTGAAAAGTGGATGGGGGTGCTACAATGAATGGTTTGCAGAAGGGACAATTATACAAAGAGAAAATCAACTTAGCTGAGATTGACATATAGTCAATTATCATATTGATAATTTTATTTTATCAATAAAAAGTTATTTGATATCAAATATTAAAAGTCCCAAATATGAAAAAACTGACTGATAAAATAATATTCTTAGAAAAAAGAGATTAATGGAACTAAGAAAAATATTTACACACAGACAGAGAAGTTTAAAGCAGAAGACAGGGACACCAAAACATTATGAAACAGAAAATTATTTTCCCAAGATTACTAGAAAACCAACATTAATTTATCAAGTTACCAATTAATAAGGACCTCCAGATAGTAGGCATTCTAAGGTTATTCAGAAGTTAATTGGAAAACTATAAAAATGTTAGATTTGAAGAGATTAAAGAAGAAATAGTTTCATATGGTATGCGCTCAGCTTTTGTGAGGCATATGTTAAATTCATGGTCCATTTGGAACAATTTTTTCCACAAATCTGTAAAGATTTACTTACAACACTATTGGAATCTGGTCCTCAGTTATAGTGGACTACCTTGTAGAGAGATAAGCTAGGGCCATTGAACTGCGAGATAAGTTTAGAGGTTATGAGATTTCCAAAGATCAAATCCTTGGTGAGGGCATTATGATGACATAAAAGACAGGTTACATTTGATGATATATGCTGTTCCTATTCTATACAGTAGTTTTAATGCTTGAGCAGCACAGAAATTGAAAGAAACAATGAATAAATGGGACCTCCTGAAACCAAAAAGCTTCTGTAAAGCAAAGGATATAGTCAACAAGACAAAATGACAGCCTACAGAATGGGAAAAAAATTTTCACTAACCCCATATCAGACAGAGGTCTGATCTCCAAAATATACAAAGAACTCAATGAATTGGTCATTAAAAGAACAAGGAATCCAATAAAAAATAGAGTACAGACCTACACAGAGAACTTTCAACAGAGGAATCTAAAATGGCTGAAAGACACTTAAAGAAATGTTCATAGTAGAGCATATACTTTTCATGTATGATAAGGTTTCTCTTGGGTATATTCCCAAGAGTGGTATTGCTGGGTCCAGGGGAAGGTTGATCTCAAATTTCCTGAGAAACCGAAACACTGCTTTCCAAAGTGGTTGCACAAGCAATGGATGAGTGTACCCCTTTCTCTGCAACCTCTCCAGCAAAGGCTATCATTGGTGTTTTTTATTTTAGCCCTTCTGACAGGTGTAAGATGGTATCTTAAAGATGTCTTGATTTGCATTTCCCTGATCGCTAAGGAAGTTAAGCATGACCTTAAGTGTATTTTGGCCATTTGAACTTCTTCTGTTGAGATTTCTCTGTTCAGTTCAGTGCTCCATTTTATAATTGGGTTGATTAGCCTTTTATGGTCTAGTTTCTTGAGTTCTCTATATATTTTGGAGATCAGACTTTTATTAGTTGTGGGGTTGGTGAAGAGCTTCTCCCAGTCAGTGGGTTGCCTTTTTGTCCTAGTGACAGTGTCCTTTGCTTTACAGAAGCTTCTCAGTCTCAGAACGTCCCATTTATTCAATGATGCCCTTAATGTCTGTGCTGCTGGGGTTATACGTAGGAAGTGGTCTCCTGTGCCCATGTGCTGTAGAGTACTTCCCACTTTCTCTTCTATCTAGTTAAGTGTGTTCAGACTGATATTGAGGTCTTTAATCCATGTGGACTTGAGTTTTGTGCATGGTGATATATATGGGTCTATTTTCATTCTTCTACAGGTTGACATCCAGTTTTTCCAGCACAACTTGTTGAAGATGCTCTCTTTTTTCCATTGTATACTTTTAGCTCCTTTATCGAAAATCAGGTATTCATAGGTTTGTGGGTTAATGTCAGGGTCTTTTATTCAATTCCTTTGGTCAACTTCTCTGTTTTTATGCCAATACCAAGCTGTTTTCCATACTGTAGCTCTGTAATAGAGTTTGAAGTCAGGGATGGTAATTCCTCCAGACGATCCTTTATTGTATAAGATTATTTTGGCTAGCCTGGGTTTTTTGTTTTTCCACATAATATTGCTTATTGTCTTCTCCAGATCTGTGAAGAATTTGATGGGATTTTGATGGGGATTGCATTTAATCTATAGATTGCTTTTGGTAGAATTGCCATTTTTACTATGTTGATCCTCCCAATTCAAGAGCAGGGGAGATCCTTCCATTTTCTGGTATCCTGTTTAATTTCTTTCTTCAAAGACTTAAACTTTTTGTCATATAGATCTTTCACTTCCTTGGTCAGAGTTACCCCAAGATATTTTAGGCTATTTGTGACTATCATGAAAGGTGATGCTTCTCTGATTTCCCTCTCTGTTTCCTTATCCTTAGTGTATAGGAAGGCCACTGATTTTTTGGAGTTGATCTTGTATCCTGCCACATTACTAAAGGTGTTTATCAGCTGTAGGAGTTCTTTGGTAGAGTTTTTTGGGTCTCTTATGTATACTATCATATCATCTGCATATATGCTCTACTATGTGCATAGCAGCACTGTTTGTAATAGCCAGAAACTGGAAACAACCTAGATGCCCTTCAATGGAAGAATCGATGAAGAAAGTATGGAAAATATACAGTAAAAAACAATGACTTCTTGAATTTTGCATGCAAATGGATGGAAATAGAAAACACTATCCTGAGTGAGGTAAGCCAGACCCAAAAAGAGGAACATGGGATGTACTCACTTATATTTAGTTTCTAGCCATAAACAAAGCACATTGAGCATATAATTACTGATCCTAGAGAAGCTAAATAAGAAGAATCCAAAGAAAAACATATAGGCATCCACCTGAATATTAACCTTCATCAGGCGATGAAAGGAGACAGAGAAAAAGACACACATTGGAGCACTGGACAGAAATCTCAAGGTCCAAATCAGGAGCACAAGGAGAGAGAGCACGAGCAAGGAACTCAGGACCGCGAGGGGTGCACCCACACACTGAGACAATGGGGATGTTCTATTGGGAACTTACCAAGGCCAGCTGGCCTGG